GTGGGTGGTTGGAGGGTGCTACTGATAGGTCCTACTTCTTTACCTTCCCGTATGTGAGTAGAAGGTGAAAGAAATTTCAAATGAAAGGATAATATGGTCGCTTTTAAGGACAAGCAGGCTAACCCAGATTTCGGGAGTTTCCAGAAATCGTGACCTACACCAAAAGTGAGCATTGCCCTACCTTCCGGAGAAGTTTAGTTTCATTGCTGTGTATATTTCTTTGGTTATAGAGAAAACTCTCCTTTGTTTTTTAAAGAAACTGAACAAGGGCCAAAAACTTTACCTTCGATTTTCTCCAAACTGCATTTTTCGGGATAGTCCCCTTGTGCTTAATAGAGACCATATAGACCTTTGCCTATTGATTCTATCACTACTTATCCCTATAAAGCTTTTTACTGATTACTGGGTGCAAATGTGAAAGTAGACTTGTTTTTAAATACATTGATTCATTTTGAATGTGAATCGACTAAGATAGATGACAACATGTGTTGCTCAATGAAAAGACTGTCTCTTTTATTAGTTATCAATTATATTCTGCTTATTTGCTAATTCACCTTTTTTCTGGGAGAAAGTTTGTTTTTTAATCTATTCATTCATCTACGCACTTATAATTTAAACTGAACTCATTCAGTTGTTGTTGTTTTGTTTTTTTCTTAAAAAGGAACAAAATAGCGCCAACACACCATGAATACATGAGGAATCAGCAAAGTTGAATCTGTTTCATCGTGTTAACCGTTTGTTGCAAATCAGCTTTTACATTTGGTGGAGTAAGTGGAACGGCAGACGAAGTTCAACGAAGAATTATTTTTCTTTTTGGAATTATTTGGCCTACTTAGAGTTAAACACACAGGAATCAGGGTCAAAAGACAAAGAGATAAGGTTTAAAAAATTAGACGGGCCAGAATTTTTCCAACGGTAAAAGACCCTTTGCTTTCAAATCTTTGACCTCCTTTTGACTTTCGATGACATGGCGTATTTCTTTATTTTCCTAACCTTTTCAGTGCTGTGTTGACATAATATACTAACTTAATCTGTTCTCCCAACCTTGTTCCCTCTCATTTTAGGATAATAATAGAGGATATTCTAGAAGATGTACTTGCAACTTATGCAATTTTGGCCTTCCTTCATATGGGAAAATGTTTTGGCGTTCTTTGAATTTCTTTTTTTTTTTTTAACAAACGTAGACGGAAACGTCTCAGCAGTGAAAGGGTTAAAAGTGAAGTTTGTGAATGTACAGTCCGAAATACTCTCAAAAGGCAGAGCAAATTTTAACTCTTGAAACGAAATATAAAAATGCTGAGGTGTTATAGTCAAGTTTTGTAACTAAAGAGAGGTCGGATGTTTTAAGTGACTCTGCAGACGCATTACCATCTCATTTGTTAATTTGACGTTGACCTTTTTTTGTAAAGAGAACAAGACAACTAGTTAAGGCTTTCTGTAGTGACTCAGCTACCTCACTTTGGATTAGATCAGTGGATCCGCTGCAAAGAGGTTTGTGTTCTAAGGTCCTTGGTCTGCTGTGGGGAGCGGGGGAAAGGGGGACGGATGGTGGG